TGGGAGGATGAGCTTCTGCCTTCCTTTTAGGGGAAAGATTCTGCACTTTTAATATTCCCTAAAATATCTCATTTTTCTAGGAGGGTGTGTGTGTGCTAACTTCTTACACAGTTGAGCCTTTGCCCCAAAAGATGTCATCCCCCCCATTAGTGTCTCTCCCACCCCCATGTCTTCTGAAATCAGGTCCAGGGAGGGAATCTCTAGGGATGGCTGGGAAACCCCAGACATTGGATCCAATTTCAGGATGCTGTTAGGCTCTTTGTCCCTTGTTGGGTTAAGGAATCAAGCCGGATACTTTTCATTCTTGCTTGCAAATATCTCCCCGAGCCGGCAGACATGGTGATGAGTTAGGGGTCGTTTACTCCCTAATTAAGGTTATAATTCTTTACATGTTCCCAGCACAGTAGCTCTTGAGCAAATGAGTTAGAAAATAATTAATTTCAGAAGCATCCTCCTCTGCCTTTCTCCATTTCTTGAATTGCAATGAGCAGAGAGGGAAATGGTGTGGGAGGGAGTTTGTGTACACAAACGCCTACACATGGACACAAACACACCGGACAACACGTGCCCTGGTGGGTCATCATCTCAGAGATATTTCCTTAAGCTACACAGAGAAACAGGATACCCAAGCCTTTGGCAGAAAAGTGTTGGCAGTGGCACCGATGCCCAGTTTCCTGCCCCCTTCCCCATGGAGTTTTCTTGGGGGAAGCTGGCAAGGAGGATTAGAAATGGCTGTCGCCTGACCACAATTAACCGTCACATTGTGGCAGCATAGCAGAACCAGAGCAGTAATAATTTTGCCAAATATCAAGCCCAGAAGAGTTGTGGGTTGTTCTGACCCAGCCTTAGCAGAACCAAGAAACAAGACTTCTTGTCACGAAAATGCCCTCTTTATTTATCTCCTGGGAATTAATGGCATTCACACCAGTGGTGGGATTCAAACTTTTTTACTGCCAGTTCCGTGGGCGTGGCTTTGTGGGTGTGATGTGGCTTGGTGGGCGTGGCAGGGGAAGGATACTACAAAATCCCCATTCCCTCTCCACCCCACTAACCTCCTTTCCAGCTCCATTCTCCTGTTCAGGNTCACTGCCAGCAGTTCAATTCTGATCTGGTCAAGGTTGACTCAGCCTTCTGTCCTTCCAAGGTGGGTAAAATGAGGACTCAGATTGTTGGAGGCTGACTCTGTGAACCACACAGAGAGGGCTGTAAAAGTACTGTGTATATGTTTAATTGCTATTAATGGTTTTTTTCTGTCCCAGCAGTGATCCAGTTACATTTGATAAGAGAAAAAGAGATTCTCAGTGTTAATTGTGGTATGTGTTACAAGTGGCATCTCTTGCCTGGCATTTTGCTAAAGGCTCG